ACTCCTCGCACAAAACCCCGTGCCGAGAGCGAATATCTCTAATCTCGTCGCTCTACGATCCACACCCCTGAATTGCAGTAGACTAGTATGAGGAAATACTATATAGAGAGAGCATAGAAAAACACACTCTCCTCACCCAGTCTATCACAACGATACATTATTTATATAAAACGCGCCGTCAGGCAGTGCGGCGCTGAGGGTGGGGGCGGCGGGGGGGGCGGCGGGCGGCTGCTGGGTTTCGGCCTCGCTGCTCATGGTTGCGGTGATGGTGACTGGGGCCGGCTGTGGCAGCTGCGGCTCCTCCCGGGGTGTGATGGTAACTAGGCCGGCGGCGGCGGTGGGGCTGCTCAGGGCTCTCTGGGGTCCGCTCTCCGCTCCCGCTACCGATCGAACTAGCGAGAATGGCGGGACGGGCGGGATATGCCCTGCGATCGACCCGCCCCAAGCATCGTTCACTGGCCAGGAGTGCTGTCACTCTGGCCACCTGACCCCAATTCCTGGCTTGTATTGGTTAATACTGCATTACTCCTCCACGTTCATTGGCTCTTAGGCGGCTAATTCGGCCGACCTACAACCGTTCCTGCCTCCGCCGCCGCCATAGAGACCGGAACTAGAATTAGAGTCACCACGAGAACCATAGAGTACCCGAGAGGACGGGCAGAGAGAACTTGACTTTCACGAGGCTGTAGCATGGGCGAGCGGGCGGGCTACACGTCCGCGGTTGTGTCCTGGTCTTCAGAAAGGCACGGCCAAACGCCTGCGCCGGGATTACCCGGTCATCGAAGGGCCTGGAAGGGTGCTCGTCGATACCTTAGCCCCAGGTAGAGAGGCCTCCCACCCTCCCTGCTCGGAATACGGTCCTGTGACCTCAGACCATTACTGCGAACAGATCCGTCTTCTACAATGGCCGTGTACTCGCGGCACAGCCGAGGGGTTCTGAAACAGACGTAAATACATGCATTCAAGGAGTGTCCGTTTTTGGCGGAACAATCACCCTGGAGGGACCACGCAGGCTCTCATGCGGTCCCTGCTCGGCATATTTAGGGCGGAGGGCGGAGGGCGGGGGTATTTTCCAGGAGTACCTGCTTTCCCATCCATCTTCCCAAAAGGCACTTAAGGACTGTCTTGTTAAGTATTCACGTGTTTTTGTGTTGGCCACAAATCAGATTTAATTTCAAGTCACGTTTATTGAGCAAACTAGGAATTTTTCTTGCATTTTATCCTTACACCAGCCACGTGAAATAGGGGTTACTATCCACGTTTCACAATCGATTTATAATTGAGGTTGCCACATGCTGTAGCTGAAATCCTCCACCTTCATTCCTTATTGAGCGTCTATGATCTTCTGGGGATGGACTAGTTCGCCAGTTTCTGCCTCTTAAATTCAGTCTAGGGATGAAGGTAGAAATTTAAACACCCAACACTCCAGTGCTGCAAAAGCACAAAACATTGTGGGAGTGAAGTGGAGAAGGTGGAATGCTGATTCCAAGCGCATGGAGGTTTCTGTAAGGCCTACAGGCAAGAAAAGATGGGTCTGAGAAAATGCAAGTAAAGTTGTCCAATAAAACTAGAATGAAGACATTGGGTTATAGAGGTAGGCAGGGTCAAATTAGGGATATTTTATTGGAAATTTATCCTACGAGCAATAGTGACAAGGGTAATTTAGAGTTGTAAGTAGGGAGTGACATAATTTCTTTCTTTTTTAATGGCTGCTGAGTGGAGAATGGGTTGTACGAGGGCAGAAATGGAAGTAGGGAAAACAGGCCGGTGCAGTCCTTGCCCATAAGTATCATCTAGGCCTGTCAATTCCACTTTCTAAAAGCCTCCCTGAATCAGTCCTAAGAATCTTTGATCTCTTCATTTCTACTGCTACTACTCTATTGTAGGCCATCGTCATCTATTGCTTAGAACAGAAGTAGGCAAACTTTTTCTGTAAGGGCCGGATAATAAATATTTTAAGCTTTGCAGGCCAGACAATCCACTCTCAGCTACTCAACTTTAGAGCCTGAAAGTAGCCTTAGCCAATCAGTAAACAAAAATCTATGATAAAAAAAACTTTATTTATGGACATTATAATTTGAATGTCATATAATTTTTACAATGCAAAATATTCTTTAGATTTTATCAACTACTTAAACATTTAAAAACCAGTCTTATCTCCATTGAAAAATAGGGAGTGACCCTCTCCCTTCCTCTCTGAAATCAATAAAGTATATTTAAAAAAGAAAAAAAGGAAAAATAGTCAGATGGCCTGCCCACTGGCATAGAGCACTGCTGTGGCCTTCTCTTTCTTACTCTAATATTCCCCACCACAACACCCAGACTGTGTTTTAGAAAATATCTATTTGATTATGACATTGTCTTATTTGAAATCTATCAGAATTCCTTAATATGATTTATAGGACCGCCTATGACTTCTCTAAATTTGCCTCCCACTCTTTCACATTCCTTGTCCAACCTTCCAAGTGATCATTTGGCCATTGCTTCCTTTGGATTATCACTTATTTCCCTCTATTTGTAACACTCTGCCTTTCTCCCTTCTTTTCCTTTGCCTGCTTAACTGTTCATCCTTTAAGACTTGTCTCAGATGTCACTAGTTTAAGAGACCCTCCTATCCTAACACTGTATTATACTAATCTTCCCAGCCAGACTATGAATTCCTTCAGCATCTAGCATAATACCTGAGACACAGTATCTTAATAAATTTGTTAAATGAATGAAATAGTGTAGAACATGGATTGGAGAATGAGGTACTGGCAGCAGAGAGGCCATCTGGGCAGCTGTGCCAATATTCCAGATGAAAAAGGCTTGCAGCAACAATGTGTATGGAGAGAAGTAGGTGGATTCTAGAGTTGCTATTTCTCTATTTCAGCTCTAGATGACCTTTGACTGCTAAAAAAAAAAAAATATATGTTTCCTCCAAAGGCAATCTGCCAACACTGAGAACATTTAAAGGTGTGCCCTATAGACTTGAGAGTTTTCCCAAAGTGGAGTTACAAAGACAGAACAATGGCAGAAGCACCTCTGAGAATAAGCGAACAACCTTCCCTATGTAACAGGTTTGAAGAGATGGCTTCTCTAGCAGAAATCCAAATTCTGTAACATTTGCCTTTAAAATGTTACTTAACAGTATCATTACATACTCATCCAATCACTTCACTAAGCTCTCTCATGATCAGTGGACATAAAGATGTGCTATTTCCTACTAGTTTTCTTGTAGCCACCTCTTCACCACTGCATAAGTGGCTCTGAAGCACTGGATGACATACCATTGATGCCAAAATGCATCTCCTATTCCTAGGTGGGAGTTCTCCACTCTAGAGTTCTGCTAGACGCCCTCCCACCCTGAGAGTTCACACTGCCCAACATGGTGATCACAGTTCAGACAACTCCAATGCCTACCTTTAAGTGATGTGAAAGGCAAGAAAAGGGGTTCATTCTAAGAATCTCCTTTGCAAAATAACTTTCACCTTGTCCCCCATCTCTTACAGACTCTGGCCCAAGGATACAGTTCCCTCTTCCTGGAAAGCCCTCTCCACCCTCATCTCTTAGCTAATTCCAACTCATCTCTTAGCTAATTCCAACTCATCTCTTAGCTAATTCCAATCTGTCAAACTTACCTCAAATGTTATCTCTTTCTCTCACCCCCAGTCTCTCCACTCCGCTCCCATAGCATCTGGTACAGACCATTATCATTCATGCAACAAATGTTTATTGAGCACTTACTAGGTACTGGGGGCCGGGGACACAGCAGTAAACAAAACAAGTATTGACCAAATTTCCTGCCCTCATAAGGGGTCACATTCTAATACCACATGTATCAAAACTGTGCCTATCTCCTGTCACAAGCATGGGACACATCTTACACATCATTGCAGCTCCAGTGCCCAGGGCAGATTGGCATAGAATGCAGGTGCCAAGTATAACTGACAGTTACCTGAATAACCCATCACAAGAACATCAGCTCAGGATCCCAGCTGATCATTTTCCTTCCTTTCTCTTTATAATCCACCCTGTATAGTCACGTGATCAGTTCTTTCTTCATTATGTCCCCTGAACCCTATTTATTTAGCTGTAGAGTTGTGGATATCTATACTCTAGCTTCCTTATCCTGCCAATACACTGAAATGGCACTTCTGACCAGGTTCTATTGTCATAGAGTTCAGCTCTCTGTTCTTATGAGTCATCCTATCTGAGTCAGGAGAAAGGAGAAATGGGAGAACATAGACATTGCCTCATGAAAGGAACATCAGGGAACTCTTTATCTCTTGAACATTATACTGTGGGAACTTTTTATATTGGGTTGTTTCCTTTTAAAACTAACATTTGCAAGGCATGTTGTGTTTACAAGCTACCTTCATATCCACTCTCTTACTTGACCCTTTCAACAATGCTATGAAGTAGATAGGTATTATTATCCCCATTTTATAGTGATAATACTTCTCAAGACTGGAACTGTTTTTTAAAAACAATCCAAGGTTCAAACCAAGATTTTTGACTAAATTATTCCCACTTTGTCATGATCAAGATACATTCTACCCAATGGTCTCCCATCCAGAAATATCACAAGTTAGCGATTCTCTTCCCACAGGCTTCAGAACTACCAAACTAAACCTACTGCTGGGAACACTTTGGCCCTGGGGCTTTGCCTTCTTTGCTCAATCAGCTTGAACCTAAGGGGGAATGCTAGAAATGCTTATAAATTTGGGGCTCTGGTTCACACTGGTCTTGCAGTTGGAGAGCCAGGTCCACAATGGCCTAAAGCTACGTTGTGAGGAGTGGGGCTATCATTACAACAACACACATACTAAAACAAAAAAACTTTATTTACAGTTGAAAAACATGGAAAATCCTGGGTTCTGAATTGTGATACTTCCAAGGTTTCTTGATCAAACAGGGCAACAGCAGGCCAGGAAGCAAACACAGGGGCCAATCCAATCCAGATTTTCCTACTCATGAGCATCACCCAGAGAAGGGCAGGCCTACAATGGCAGATACATGGAGGTCTGTAAGGGATGGAAGAGATTAGCAGCTCAGAGGATTGGAATGGGACTTTCCATGAGACAACATTCCCACCTATTCTCTACATTCCTGATCCTCTTCGCAAAAGAGTAAAACCGGTCTGATTCTTGCCATAGGCCAGACCTTTGGTTCTCCAGAGCAAAGTTGAAAGTAAAAAAAAAAAAAGTACATTACACAAGAACCAAGAAGAAACTAACATATACTGCCAAGTATATTATCTCATTATTTACCCTTTACAACTCTGTGCAATATACATTATAAATTAAGCAAAGGAGAAAATTAGGGTCCCAAGCAGTTCAATGGCTTGACAGTGATGGGGCTTCCTGATGTACTGGCACCAAAGCACATGTCTTTTGCCAGACCTGGAGCACTCTGTGGAGCTGTAGAACAAAGAGCAATCCTCCTTACCTGTGGGTTTTGGTCCCAGGGTTATACAGAAAGGAAATTGCACATCCTCTGTTTATGGCCTTTTAGTTGTACTAAAAGAACAGGGTGAGTTCACTCTGACACTACTCTCCCCTCCCCCAGAATGTGGCCACCCCCCCACCCCCCCTCTCCCTTCCAGAAGACAGGGAGTCCTGGTGTCATATTGCAGGCTCAAAGAGAAGTTTAACTATGGGTCCTAATGCAGAATGTACAAAAATGTATAAATGCACTTATAAGTTGCATTGTGCTCCAGGACCCAAGCTCTATCATAGACCAGTCAGCATGGTCTCTGCCTCAAGAGAAAACCAAACACATTTGTGTTAATGCTGTAACAGAGAGATGAACCAAGTACTGGGAGCTCACAGGAGGGGATCACTGACTGCCTAGACCAGGGAAATGGAGATGGAGGGACCAGGGAATGATTCAAACTGATGTTAGTCACATGCACCTGGGAGGGGCCGGGAGGAACTAGGATTAGTTAAACCACATATATACAGTGTGTATTTATTATAAGACTAGTGACCCGGTGCACAAAATTCATGCACAAAAGGGAATTAGAGGAAATATTTTAATATTGCTATTTGTCCTTTCTCCATAATAGAAGTGTCAGAGATGAAAGAAAATTAGTAAAATGTATATGAAAATCTTCCTCCTGTCAGAGTCTGGGGCGCGCCATGGGAACCAGAGTCAAGTCCCCACCCACCCACCCACATGTGCCTCAACATCGCGGGAGACCCAGACCCGGCTGGCCCCACCCCCGTCAAGCCCCGCCGGGTGGGGGGTGCGGCCTCAGGTTGCCTGGCCCGGCGCTGGGCTGGGAGGTGTGCCTTGAGGTCTCCCGTCAAGCCCTGCCAAGCGGGGGGCACAGACTCAGGTCCCCCAACCCGGGACGGGGAGTGCGCCTTGAGGTTCCCCATCAAGCCCCGTGGGCGGGGGGAGGGGGACACGGTCTGAGGTCCCCCCGCCTGGCACCGGTGCGGGGGGCGCGGCCTGAGGTCCCCCATCAAGCCCTGCTGGGCTGGGGGCATGGCCTGAGGTCCCCTGTCAAGCCCTGCCGGGCGTGGGGTGCAGCTTGAGGCCCCCCGTCAAGCTCTGCCAGGCAGGGGACATGGCCTGAGGTCCCCCGTCAAGCCCTGCCCTGCTGATTGCTCTTTAAGGCTCGTTTCGGGAACTTTGGCCTCTGCTGTGGGAGCAGCCATCTCGACTGTTATGGTGTGACGGTCAATTTGCATATTACCGGTTTATTAGATAAGTGCTCAATATAGGAAATTCAAGCATATACAGGACAATATAAATTGAAAAATTCTCTTGCTATCTCTACAGAGGTAACCATTATTAATAGTTGGCTATATATTACTATAGAAATTTCTGAAATAGTTATTCAAAATAAATAGTTGTATGGTTTATATAATAGACTATTTCTTTTTTTAAAATATATTATATTGATTTTTTTTACAGAGAGGAAGGGAGAGGGATAGAGAGTTAGAAACATCGATGAGAGAGAAACATCGACCAGCTGCCTCCTGCACACCTCCTACTGGAGATGTGACAGTAACCAAGGTACATGCCCTTGACTGGAATCGAACCTGGGACCCTTCAGTCCGTGGGCCGATGCTCTATCCACTGAGCCAAACCGACCAGGGCTAATATACTATTTCTTGATGTTGTCACGTAATTTACCTTAGAAATCTTGCCAACACATTAAGATCTACTGCTTTCTGTAAGACCTGGTTCCAACATAGGAAGCTTTGCTTTTGTATAGTCATGCACCACATAACAATTCGGTCAACAATGGACCGCATGTATGATGGCAGTCCCTTAAGATTTTAACAGAGCTGAAAAATTCCTAGATTTAGTGATGTTGTAGCCACTACAACTTTGTTTATGATACTGCTGGTGTAAATAAACAAATGTACCGCACTGCTAGTCATATGAAAGTACAGCACATTCAATGATAATAACAATAAATGACTGGTGTATGTATTTACTATACTATACTTTTATTGCTATTTTAGAGTGTACTCTACTTAGGAAAGTTTGCTGTAAAATAGTGTGCTGTGCTTCACCAGCAGCATCTCATTCTTACCACGTCTCCTGATTGCATCATTCTCTTGTGCTTGATTTAATCTCATGTTGTTTTAGAGATTTTGTGTAGCCTACGTGTTGAGTGTTTGTGATGTCTACAGTAATGTCACTACTCACACTCACTCACTGGCTCACCCAGAGCAACTTCCAATCCTGCAAGCTCCACTCATGGTCAGTGCCCTATACAGCTGTACCATTTTTAATCTTTTACATCATATTTTTACTATACCTTTTCTATGCTTAGATATGTTTTGTGCACAAATACTTATTGTTTTACAACTGCCTACAGCATTCAGCACAATAACATGCTGTACAGGTTTGCAGTCAAGAGCAATGGGCTATACCATACAGCCTACGTGTATAGTAGGTATTATCATCTAGGATTGTATAAGTGCACTCTGTGATGTTCACACAACAGAATTGCCTAATGACACATTCTTAGAATGTATCCTAGTTAAGCGCCTGTGGCTGTACTGGATTGCCCTGGAATGGAGCCAGATATTCTCCTCTCCCCTCCCTTTTTAGCTGGCAGGGTTTCTGACTTTCAGGGCAGCGGACAAACAGTGTCACACACCCAGCAGGAACACATATATTTGTTGCCAAATCTGTAGTGCTCCCAAGACCCGTATTTTCATGCGGAACCTCCTCTCTCTTGCCTGGACTACAGCAGTGGATACCGCACTGCCCTCTACCCCATCCTCCACATTGCTGCCAGAATCAACTTCTAACGAAGAAAATGCAAGCACAATGTTCTCCTGCTCAAAATCCTTCAGTGGCTCCTATTGATTTGGTTCTTTTTGGAAAGTCAGGCCCCCTTTTGAGAATTTCAGGAGAACAATGAACTCTCACCCAGGAAGAAAAGAAAAATGTACACAATGCCTGAAGCCCATCCCCACCCTCAGGATTACATATGAACTCTCAGCCTACACTGGTTCTCACAACTGGCCCTGGCCTCCGCCAACTTCGCCTCTTCACTGTTTGCTTTTCCTCTCTTCCTGCTTTGGCCATACTGAATTTGCAGTCTCCCACACACTTTCTGCTGCTTCCTGCTCCTGTGCTTTGTTCATGCTGTTCCTCTGCCTGGAATGCCCTCCCCAGTTTCAGCCACCTGACAGGTTCTTATTCTTTCTTGTACTCAGTGGAAGCATCATCTCTCCTGCCATCTTCACAACCATGCCAGGCAGACACAGGCATGTACACTTTCCTCACTTCGTCCTAAAGCCTCCAGTCCAGTGCTTTATTGCACTGTAACTGTCTGTTTCCCAAGACACTGTGAGTTCCTTGAAGGCAGGAACTGGGCTTTTCAAATTTGTAGCCTTATATGCATTATGGGACCAGTCTTTTTTGGAAATTTATTTTTTCAATTACAGTTGACAAACAATATTATATTAGCTTCAGGTATACTGCATAATGATTAGACATTTATATACCTTAAGAAGTGATCACCCAGTATGGTACCTATTTTAATTAATTAGTACTGATTTGTACAATGAAGAACCAGCGAATGTGCCACCAACATGTCTTTCATAACCTTTCTCTGCAGGCATGTATCACATCTACAGGATATCTCAATTATTCCAAATAGCACCTTCACAACTATTACCATATCCACTATCCACAGGTATGATTAATTTTCAACCTAATCACTATTTGAACTTCAATGCCTCATTATAAGCTGTAATAATTATAAAATTATATGTTGTGCTAATTATATATTTTTTCCTCAGATGCAAATATTAAAAGACATTCATTCCAGCACCACTGAAAGCGGCATTACCCACATTCCTCTGATAAGCATTTGAGATGTTTGTTACAAACATAGAATCCTGGGTCCCACCTTAAACTAACTCAATCAAACTCTCCCGAGGGAGGGACCTGGGAATTAGTAGGTTTTTCAAATGCCCCCAAGTGATTCTTCTCTTTAGGGGAGTTTGGGAAACAATGAAGTAAAGTAGTTCTCCACTGCTTGCCACAAATACCAGGTTTGGGGATCACAGGGAGGTGAGCAGCAATTCAGACTAGCAAGGTTGCCAGAGCCAACAGCCACTCCCTTTTCCAAGAGACTCTCAGGCTTTCAAAACAGAGGTTCCACCAGCCCCTATGTGATTTTAAGTAGCAAAGAACACAGTTCAGTCTATGACAAGAGAATCATGAGGGCCACGATTCACCTATGTATCTATGTATCAAATTGATCATAGAAAGCTTTCACAGGACCACAAGATAAAACCAAGGTTTCTACATGTAAAGCTGTACAGAAAACTTCACTTTAACTAAAATCAAAGTTAGAATCTAAGGCAAAATACAAAAGAGCTCTAAAAGAAAATGTTTCAGAAGCAACCAATGAGTGCATAAATAAATGGAACAACAAACTGATGTTTCTCTCTCTCTTTCTGTCTGTCTGCCTCTCACTCTCTCTCTTTTTGTCTCAACAAGTAAAAAAAATAAATTAAAAAATTATTCAAATGTAATAGATACATAGATAGATAGATAGATAAATAAATAAATAAATAAATAAATTCTCGATATGCCAAGGTTGTGGGTTTGATCCCCAGTCAGAGCACATATGACAGTCAACCAATGAGTGTATAGGTCAGAGCACATATGACAGTCAACCAATGAGTGTATAGGTGAGTAGAGAAACAAATCGACAATTTCTCTCTCTTTCTTCCTCTCTCTAAAAAATCAATTAAAAGATCTTTTAAAAGATTAAATAAAATTAAAAAGTGAGTCCCTCAGTCACATTAGCCACATTTTAAGTGTTCAATTGTCACATGCGGCTGGAAGCTACCATAACAGCACAAATGGAAAACATTTCCCCATCACAGAAAAGGAATGTCTTACTAGGACAATTCTCGATCTAGAGAGCCTCTGAAACAAGCAAATCCCCCCCATGGAATTCCTTTCTGCTTGGGTTGCAGGTTGAAAGGAGAGGCTTTCGAGGAGGCAAAGGTTTATATGATCTCTGCTAATAGTGAGTGAGGAGGGGGAGAGTTGATGATCACCACCCCTCAGAAAATAAAACTACCAACAAGGATTTTCTACTAACTTTCTGTAAGAGACTCAGAAAATTATAGAAAAGAGGCCCCCAAAACATAAAAGAATTTCTAAAATTTATTCTTTTAATCTTCTGTCCTCTGGTAGTGATCAGTGGTCAATCTCTAGAAGGATAAGGACCTCTGAGTTCAACTTTAGTTACAGCAAAGAAATGAAGGGGAAAGGGAGGGAATGGCCAGCAGCTATTTAAGGGGGATACAGGTTGATCCCTAGGGGCCCCCAGTCCCGGCGGAAAGGAAAGCTCAGGTGACAACTGGGCATGAGAGGGGACCATCTGGCTGGATGAAAGAGAAGTCCATGTGCAGCTTCCAGCACACACTTGTGCATTCCTGCCTCAGCATTTGCTCACACCAGTTCCCTGCCTGAAATGCCTGACATTCTCTCTCACTATTAACTCATGAAACAACATTTTACTGAATGCCTGTAAGTACTACATATTGTGAACACAAAGTCATAGATAGAGATATAAACAGTCATTAAAGTGGTCTGGAATTTGACTACATCCCCATTTTGGAAAAAGACAGAATTCAGAAAAATAAATTCTAGATAATTTTGTAAGTATACAAATAGAACTAATGAAATATTAGAAAAAATACAGAAGATATTAGGATCTGAGGTAATAAGGACCTTTTTAAATAAGATAAAACACAAAAGCCATAAGGGAAAGACTGATAATTTGACCTCATCAAAATTTAGAACTTCTGTTTAACAAAGGATATAACCAAAGTTAAGATAAGCAACACACTGCCAATTTTTTCTTAAAACATATTCTGGAGAAAATAGTCACAACATATAAAGAACTAAGACTCAGAATGTATAACTTTCAAATCATTAAGAAAGAGGAAAAATAAACTATATGCTACAACCATCTCATAGAATATTATGTCCGTTTTGTTTTTTTTAAATGAAATAGTTTTACTTGAACAGAGGAGGAAGTCTTCAGACATAATGCCAAATGGAAAAACAATGATGAACAATACAGTATGATGTCATTTTGGAAAAACAAAATCTCCCAAAATTAGATAGGCAAAGAAAAGGCCCTGATGGCTACACATCAAACTGATAAAGAAGTTACCTCTGGGAGAGGAGTGGGACTGGGGCTGGGGTAGTAACAAGGGGGGGTGGGGGACTTTAACTTTTGTGTGAAAATTTTTATAAGATTATATAATGTTACTCGCCAAAACCGGTTTGGCTCAGTGGATAGAGTGTCAGCCTGCGGACTGAGAGGTCCCGGGTTCGATTCCGGTCAAGGGCATGTACCTGGGTTGCGGGCACATCCCCAGTGGGGGATGTGCAAGAGGCAGCTGATCGATGTTTCTCTTTCATCGATGTTTCTAACTCTCTCTATCCCTCTCCCTTCCTCTCTGTGAAAAATCAATAAAATATATTTAAAAAAAAAAAAAAAGATTATATAATGTTACTTAATAACCAACCAAAGGAAATATGTGAACCTTGATTGGATGAATTTTCCTATAGGTATAAAAGTTACACTGTGAGTAACTGGGGGAGTTTGAACAGGTATATTAGATGTTATTGTGGTTGTTTAGGACAGGGGTCCTCAAACTACGGCCCGCGGGCCACATGCGGCCCGCAGAAAACATTTATCTGCCCCGCCGGGTGTTTTTGCCTCTGCTGTCTGTTGCTTAGCAGCCGACTAGTTTTTTTTTTTAAACTATAGTCCGGCCCTCCAACGGTCTGAGGGACAGTTAACTGGCCCCCTGTTTAAAAAGTTTGAGGACCCCTGGTTAGGATGTTCTTGTTTTCAGCAGTTGCTTACTGAAGTATTTATGGGTAAAGTGTCAAGAAGTCTTCAATTTTCAAATGGGAAGAAATGGAAGGAAGGAAGGAAGGAAGGAAGGAAGGAAGGAAGGAAGGAAGGAAGGAAGGAAGGAAGGAAGGCAGGCAGCAGAGAGGAGGAGATGGAATGGGAATATGAGGGGAGGAGAGAGGGAAAGAAAAAAACAAATGTCAAAGCAAAATGATAAAGTAAGAATGTTAATCACTGGTGAATCTAGGTGAAAGGTATATGGGTGTTGAATGTACTATTCTTCCAACTTTGCTACAGGCCTGAAAATGAGAGAGAGAGAGAGAGAGAGAGAGAGAGAGAGAGAGAGAGAGAGAGAGAGAGAACACACCATTTTAGCTGGAAGGGATCAATTTCTCCCTTGAATTCTTATGATACTTAGCAATGTCACTCAAATTACTAGTGATCACCTCTCAGAATGTGTCTTATTCTCTTTAAGCTCCTGAAAGGTAGAGGCATCTTTCAATTCTTTGCACCCCTCTGCATGCCCAGCATGATGCTAGCACAGAGCCGGCAGTGGCAAGAATGGGTAGGAGTTGAGGTTGAGAAATGTGTCATGTTTACCTGTGAAGCTGGCAAATACAAAGTCAGGACCTGGAATTGCCCATCAGTTCTGATGAGAAGGGTGACAGGCCTATCTCCTGGCCACTTAGGCTGACCCAGCAGGGAATCACCCCGAGCTGGTGCTCTCACCCAGAGCTGGTGCCAGATCTTTCTAGTAGGACTACAGTCTGAGAAACGCTATCAGAAACTGCCTTATGGCTTTTAGTTTGATACTTTGTAAACTACAAAGTGGTAGAAAAGTATTGTCCTTACAGTGACCACAGGAGAGAGGAATTATCTCCATTTGACAGATGAGGAAACAGGCTCAGAGAAGGGAAGTGACTTCTGCTAGGTCACCCAGAGAGGAAATGGGCTCAATCCCATGTCTTCAAGTCTAAGGTTCTCTCTGCTAGACCAAGCTGCCTTCTCTGGGGTGACTCCAAACCAGGAAGAGAAAGACACACTTACCTGATTCCGTCTTGCTCTGGATTACATCTCCCCACACTGTGAGATCACCACAGGCAACTTGGGCTTATTGTTAGGGCCTGTGGGAACATTCTAAGACAGAAAGCACAGTGGAGATTCAGATACTCAGACACTCATCAAACATTTACTGATGTCTGCCAGCCCCTGTGCTAAGGACTGAGGGCTCAGAGACTGATATGACAACAGTCCATGTCCTAACAGATAGGTAAAGCATATAATACAGATAAAAAATAAAACATACATTTAAAATATATCAAGTCTACGATATGTAATAAGTTATAAGAAAGTGTATATAGGGCAGAGGAAGCAATTAAATGTTACTTAAAGAGGTCAGGGAAGGATTCACAGAATAGGGGATTATTTGAGCTGGATCAAGAAGGATAAATGGGAAGAGGAAAAGAAAGGAGAAGAGCATTCCAGGTAAAGGAAACAGCATGAGCAACGGCTCAGGGGCAAGAAGGAAAAGGAGGCAGGGAGTATGGCGCATTTAGAGGAAAGCTCAAGTAGCCTAATGTGACTGGAACATGGAGGTGGCAGTGGCAGAAGGGCTGTGAAGAGAGAGGCAGGGATGAGGTCAGGAGGGATCTTGAATGCAGTGCCGAGTAGGATCTTATCAAGTAGGTGAAGGGGCCACCACAGCCCAAATCTCAGTGTGCAATCAAGAGGCTAATTATAGGCCAAAGCACTTGGGAGGCATGTGGTCTCTCCTCCCTTGCCTTGAGAAGTCATGTAATAGAGGTCATGGATGAAGACTGGGCCTAACAA